ATTCTGATAACATATGAATAAAAATCTGTTGTCTTTTGAAAAGATGCATGTTGAAAAAAAACCTGTATGTATAAATTCATGATGGGTTCGGTAAATATGACAGTAATTTTTAATTTTTAATATGTTTTTCACAACTACGATGTGATTATATCTGTATACAGAGTATAAAAATAAAATGGCATGTGACTGCTTTAAAAATACAAATGTAAGTTATAGCTATGTTATGACTACAAAATTATATAAAAATAAAAAATTTGAGCTGTTATGTGTGTATGTGTAGATATAATTCAGATTTTGTGTATTGTGAAAAATTAGAAAAGTGTTGTTTATTCGAAACCCCTTTAAAAAGACAAACCAGGTTTAAGGTTGCAGACACAGTTCCAATTCACGCAAATTCCAATTCTATATCAAATTTTTTCTGAGCTTCTTACAATAACAACAAAAGAAAAAATAGTTTCAAATCTAATACTCAAAAAAACAAAGTTTTAAATGACTTGGGTGTTCAGAAAAAAGTTAAATTTGGATGGTACCAGACAGTTTGCGAGAGTTTTGAGCTTTAAGACCCTGAACAAGTTTAACTTGTACTCTCCTTAAATTTTTCTTTTTACATACCCTTTATACACCCTATACCGTAATCTTTTTAAATCAAAGGGCCAGTGTGTGATATGTACAAAGAAAAATTTACTATCTGTTAAAATTAATCTAATTCAGGGTCTGAAAATTTAAAATTCTAGCATGCAGTCCTTATCACCTAAATCAAACTTTTTTTTCCTAAGCATCCAATTCACTAGTACAATTAATTAAAAAAAAAATCAAACTATCTTGCGTCTGTGGGTAGAGAGAGAGAGGAAGAGGAAGAGAAATGTATACACTAAGCTTACTTTATTTATATACATACACAATATACGTATGTATGCACTCTTTCAAATTGTACGAAATAGAACTTATACTCTTTCACGTACTAGGGTACATACACAACATATTAAGCGAGCAACTCTCCCAGTAGTAAAAGCGCATGTATACCAAAACGTAGTAGAGTTACTTTACGCTACCTACATGGCAGAAGCGCTCTTACTAAGCTGGCGCTACTACCGTACCAAAAGTGAGAACGCAATTCTTCCACAACGGAGAGCCTCTAGTCAACGCCAACAGAGCTCTGCACTCTGTGTGGTTAGTGCAGCAGCCATCTGTTATGAGGCAGCACCTGTACCAATTGTTTTTCCGTGTAGCCTTGGTGTCATATGTGGCAGATATCTTTTTTTTTTAAAGTATGTGTTATTTGGTTAACTAATAAGATTTTCTAAGCTCTGATAAACAATAAATTAAAAGAGTATTCGTTTTTTAATTTTTTGGTTTTCACTATTGAAAAAAAGATTAATTTGTTTAGGTTTGTGTGTGTGTATGTGTGTGCACATCTTGTAGATCGTTCAGTTCTTATTTGTGCTCTACAGTGAAAAGTATCTTACAGCTGGTGAAAAAGACCAACTTATGTTTTTGCTGGTATTTTCTTCAAATCTCAGCTAAATACTTTTTTCTAAACGTACAGAAGATTTTATTGTATGACAATGCATGTAGATAAAACATTACATGTATAAAATACTGTAAGAAATATAAGAAATGCAGTTCTAATTTTGCACGGTGAATTCAATAATTTTGAATCAAAAGCTATGAGTTTAAGATGACAAGCTTTTTTACATTAGACATGAACGATTTCTCAATACTTGAATCCATTTTCTAATCTACAAGGATTTTCTTCGTAATAATTTTTTATTAGAAACTTACTTACTTTAAACAAATCCTATACCTGGTAGAACTATAATCGAACAGTTAATAATCACATTTCTAAAAACGTTTCACTTCGAGGTTTAATAGCAAGTGAAAAATAATTTCGGCTGGGCAGCATTAAATTAATTGTGCTAACAAATTTTGTTAACAAATGTAGCATCCAGACTTGGAGGAAAGTATTGAAGATAAAGAAATTGATAATAGTAAATAACTAATAACTCGTGAGATTCCAAAGGTTCAAAGTCCCTTTGTAGAGAAATATAAAAAATATAAAACAAATAACAGAGCCATGCTCTAGCACGTTAGATTCAAACAGGCATCAGCAGAATATCTTTAGAGTTTGCAAAGAAATTATTAAAACAATAATTATTTAAATAAAGCTGTGTTTAATATTGTCATTGCAATATCTTAGTTATGCTTAGTTCTTATTTAAAAAAAATGCCTTTTCATCCAAGTAGAGAAGGGCAACTATATCACATGATATAGTTCATACCAATGCAATGGGACTGATCAGTCCATCGATTTATCTTAAAGGGTATGAATTAATTCTTGTTTAGACAGATAACTACTAAAAATTGGTACTAACATACCCCATATGAGCAAAAAATAAAGCAGGATACTCTATAGACTATTTTGTGTCCAGCACACAAAATTTTCTGAGCTTTAATACCAAGATGTGCCATTTACAAGCTAATCACAGTATGAAGTTCATAGAAGGTCAAACGCTAGAAAGTCCCCAGATGTAAGGAGCTGAAATTTGCCTGTCCAGACATGCCTCAACATAATAGCGTCTCAGAGCGGCTTAATTGCATATTACAGGACAAAGTGCAAGCTAACATTTATCAATCTCGACTTGGAGAGAACATGTGGGATTCAGCCATTAGTGCTGTAGTGTACGCCAATAATCACACCCACAACAATCCAACAAAATTATAGCCCATTCAAAAAAGTTTACTCCTAATTCAAAGATAGACATAAGTGAAATTGGAAGATTTGGTAATGTGGTGTTTATTAAAAATTTGAAAGGTATACTGGACTTCAATAAAATCTACAAGGCGTATGAGAAGTGCTGGTTGGTTGTATGACCACTAGCTATATTTTCCTCAAACCAGAGGAAGGAAAATCTTACGAGAGTCAAAATGAGAGATTTAACATAAGACTTGTATTGAGAGATCTCTGGGTAAAGGATGAAATAGTAAACTGAATTGATCACAAGAAAGATATCAAACAAATAAAAAGTTTATTAAGTTTTATAGAAATAGCCCTGAAGAGTAATTCGAAATAGAGGAAGAACGAGAAGTCAAATGAAATTGAGAAGAACCATTTAGACAATACATTACTGTCAATGACACGAGCTTTGCAGTAGTCATTGACCCAAGTTAATTAAACGATTTGATCAACTCTGCGGGTAATGTTAGTTGTTTGATCACAAAACTTTTATATGAAATAACATACGTCCTACTTGCTAGATTGAAGAAGTATCCAGCAAACTATAAAAAATCTATCACAGCTTTAAATCAAAGTTAATAACTAAGAGGAATTAATGAAAAACTAGAATCAATGCATAACAATAAAGTACGGAAAACTGTAGATAGACTAATCATAAATGCTGAAAGGTTGCTCCATCTTCAGCTGTCAGCTCATTCAATTTTGTCTCACTAAATTGATTTTTTTTTTTATCATACTTTTAAGTTGTTTTGCATTTCTTTTAAACTAAATTCAGAAACAAACATAAGAAAGAGTATGATGTGTGCTTGATGCTTGTAGCTGGATTTCGTTGTATGCACAACAGCAAAAAATTTATATCCAGCAGCATTGCAAGCAGTATCATTAGAGTACAGTTTAGTTGATTCCCGCATGGCCAATCATTTGACACATACTTTCGCATTCATACTCTCTAACTTAGTTATTTTCTTTATACTTTTTAACTTTATTTGTTTTATATTCTTAAGATAGCTAAAGATTGTGACGATCTAAGAAAGTATAAGTAAACGAACTTTCTATTGTAAACTAAAGTGACAGTGTTGAACTTTTTCATTTGCGAGCTCATGCACCCATATCTGTAACACACTAACATTATTAAAGTGACAAAATTAGCTCAGATGGAGCTAGAAAAAGAGCCTTTAGCCAATGATATAAGAACATTTTAAAGTAGAAAGAATATCTAAAATAACAGTGTCATACTTTTGGAAGAGTTGTGTTCACATATACTTTCTGTTACAAGCCAGAGGCTCTTCCGTCAACACTTTGTTAAGAAATAAAACTTTTTTAGAAGTCAAGCCTTATTGGAGTTACATATAATTAATACTGCGTCTTCCATTTTATCGTTTCTTAGTATAAAAAATCGTGTGTGAGCTTTAGAAAAAACAACTTTCTGTCTTAAAAATGTAATATTATTCGTTCATTTGTTTTCTAAAGTAAGATTGTAATTTAAATTGTAACCATTTTTACGTTCACGTATTTGAAAATAACTAATAATTTATTGATAACATACTATAAATACTACTCTATAAGTAATAATTACCAATTTAATGTCCACAATTGTTGTTTTATTTTAACTATTTCTTATTTGATTTTTAAAATGAACATCTACTTATACGACTCCTTGATTCTTTTTTTACAAATTGTAAACTGTAATTGTGTACATCAGATTATTTTAATGAGTCGATGTTGTTCTTTATTTTATTTTTTATTAAGTTTACGCTTCTGTTCAACTAAAAATAAAAAAAGAGTTAAGCTTATATTATAAATAATTGAATACTAAATTTCTGAAAAATGGGGCTTGCAAGTAAAGAAAGTTAGACAAAAGTCTTCAAGTCTATTTATAGCCTAAACAACTGATAGTAAAAATTATTATGTCTGAAAAAGTTTTCTTTGCATTTTCTTGGGCACTATCTTTTCACAATAATAGATTTACATGCCTGATCTTTACATAGAAGATCGTTTCGTAATGAGTCAATATGCTGAATTATTTACTAGCTTTCAATAAAATAACTTAAGTGATAGTTGCTCATCTGCAACTCCAAGCCCTTATATTCACAAGATAAAAAATGTGTTATATATTCAAAGTTACACAGTTGTTTAAATAAATTTTATACGAAAAAAAATATTTTCTTATTAATTTAGCTTACATATGGCTATGGTTTTCATGAGTTACCATAACCAAAGTAAAGTTATACATAAGATACTACAAACAATTATATAGAGTAACTAACCTTCTGTAAAAGAGCCAGGATGATCACCAAACTCATACCAAAATTTATCACCTTTTTGCAATCTTTTGAACTGATCTGCTATCAAACAAGTAAAAGTTGGTCCTAAAAGTTTATCTCCATCGTGTATCTCAGCGAGAGCTCCTGTGTATAAGTCTAAATCATCTACATTCTCATACAATTCGGAGATAGAGTCTAAAGCTGCTGGGTCCATGTCATCCTTTAAATCACCAAAGTTATGTGGTATTTTTAACCCACAGTATTTTCTCCACTTAGTGTAGCCTGGGAGCCCATGATCTCTACCTCGTTGAATATTCAAAGACACAAGGTCAAGGCCACAAGGTATCGTCTTATTCTCTAGGGGATCTTCAAAAAGGTGTGCAGTTAGCTGTGAGGTAACGTGAGTTGACGTGTCCTGGATGGTATTCGATGTTGCAGTAGTTATCGAGCTTTCCACACCACCTAGTTAATATTAAAATTAATTACATGGTAGCTTTTGCAGTGGTACATCCTACCAGAGCTATTACCAGCCCTAAGGGACTTCTTGTGCTTTCCCTGGTTGGATGCATACCGCGTGACATTTCTATTTTTACTACTAAGGGCACAGTAAACGTTGAAAGGTAGAAAAAAACCTATGTAGAAAAAATTATGTTATGCATGCCATTAATAGGGTTATCTGTACTTTAGAAGGTACAATAAAATACCACTTTCCTCAAGATAAATGACATTTCTTATCTTCTTAAGTCAAACATTTAAATAGCTTATAATTAATCACAGTTAGTGTTAAACACTTTTTTTAGTGCTTTCCATATATTTTTTTATAATACGAAGGGTTATAAAGTTTAATGTTAAAAAATATAACGTTAGAAGTTTGAGAAAATTAAAGCTTTAAGTATTAAATTTTCTTTTTATTTTTTTAAATTTTATAATCAAGGCTGTTAAAAATTATTATTATTTTCGTTTGTAGGATCAAAGTGAAATTTAAAATACTAAACTCGAACAATAAACTTTCCCTGTAAGGAAAGGATTCAAGTTCAAGGCCTAGTCAAGATAGTACTTTAGTTTGACTGTCATACGTAGAGAAATTTTATTACAAATGAGGGTAAAGTACTTTGTTACTATGAACTATAACGTGAACATTTAGTGGATGCATAGTAGTTTCAAACGGAATTTTTTTTCTTTTTTTTTACCTTACTTTTTTCGAAACTTTTTACTTTGACGATTCTTTAATACTTTTTAGTCACCACTTATGGTACATTATTATTTTGCAGCAGAACTTTAACGTGGTACGTGTTCATAACTGTTTTTGTAGGCCTCCTAGTATCGGAAGCCCATGGTACTTAAAAAATGGATCAATCAATAGGTCTAGTTATCGCTTTTTTAATGGAATAATAAAATCGCAATATAACTACAATTTAAAATATTAGTAATAATAAAATCAACCAAATGTTTTAAAAACAGCAACAATAATGTTTTTTGTAACATGATTACTAAGCTATTGTATTGACATAAATTTTGTTTGTAAAATCAAAGATTTTTTATGCTGAAAATTTCAAGATTAAATTTTGTTACAGAAAAGTATTATCATAAAAAAATACATCATGTTATGTATTATTGTTAAATAATGAAATATTCGACTATTTCCTATGCTTTTGTTGAAATCATTGAAACTAGATCCAAAAAATCAAATCAACTATTCTTAATTTTTTTTATCAGGCTCACATGCTTAATAGGCACTCTCTATATAATTAAGATTTTAAGGAAGTCTTAAGGTTCAGTAACTTGTCATCCCCTTTAAAAACAGAATTCATGCTATGCCGGTCCATGACATTGATATAATTTTTTTTTGTAAGAAATAAAAAATTAAATTAACGTGTTAAATAAATAAGTTTTTTCTAACCCTACTGGACAATCTATAAAGAAAATACTTTTTTTTTTGCAAATAATATAAAATATTCATTTCTGGTCATTATTTAAACTTTTATACATCGAGTTCAGTATTTCTTTACTGAAACATATTTCTTTATCTATAACTTCTTATTTTTCTATATTTTGTTTTACTAAATTAAAGCATTTACATGATTTATTTTCTGATTCTAAAATGTATTTGATGTGAAAAAAAGGTGAATTTCCTTTTGTATCAGGCGATTCCTCCTTAAAACATTTTTGGTATTTATTCCATATTTCATCCTCTTAAACGTTTTCTGAAACTAAAAGCAAAACAAAAAATTGTCTAAATAAAATGGAAACATAACAGCAATGATTTTTTAAAAAATGTCATCTATTTTCTCGTCATTGTGTATTGAACCCATTGCAATCGCAGTATCTTTGAAAATTTCACAAGCATTCCTTTGTATATTCTAAGATCTGTAAACAACGTTGAATTAGTAACTTTATTTAACACAAAATTTTAATAATCTTTCATGATCTTTTAAATATACAGTGTTGAATTTGTCCATTCGATTTTTTTATTACATTCTTTTTCTTCGCCAAATTTATTAATTGTCATTTAAAATGTAGTATTCTGGAATGTTAGCATACTTTCAAGATTTTTCAAAGTCATCGTGTTTATTTAATTCAAACAATAATATTGGCCCTACATATCGAGCATCAACGTAACTGTTGATTTCATCAAATATTTCTTTGTCTTGTTCTTATCATTTCTGAATTTTGATGTATGTTCTTTAACTACTTTTATGTATGTAGTCATAGGTATATTTTATGCTTCGACAAGATGCACAAAATCTAACGTTGACATGACACTTGTATTTTATCAACAAAAACTTATTATACGATACAACCATTGAATTATCTACTAAAATTTTATCTTTTTTTTAAAGTTTATCAACACGTTTTCATTTGTTTGAAATGAAGTTACTTTTGTAGAAAATTTTGTAAGGTTTTTTGTGCATTTTTTATCAATCATAAAGTTTCAAATATTTATTTTCATATGGTAAGAAATACCAAAATAAATAAAGTTTTTACATTTTCGGTTTTTGAATAGAACAAAAATATGTAATAAAAGTAATACAAATGAGTCTAAAGTAATTAAACATTCACGAAAACAAACTTTTAACGTTTTACGCTAGGGGTTGGCCCGTGGAGTGAACAGGATGGTGGAGCCCCACTAGTATATATATTAAGTTACACTTGCACTCGCACATTACGAACAAGTTTAAGTAAACTGCAATGCAACTTGTTTGGAGATAGAAGTATTGTGCTTTTATTTTTTGTTATTTTTACTTTAGTATTTGCAAGTGTTAGGCTGTGTTGAGTTTATAACTGCTGTATAAGCAAAAGATTTTTTTAATCAAAACACAGTGTACAGTTTCAAGTATCAATCATACAAAATGTCTAAGATAAATCTACAAACAATGATGTTGTCAGTACTTCTTGTAATATTGTAGAAAAAAGGTAACCATTTTTACACACTGTTATTAGTGAGAACGATTTTTCAGAAGAATACTAACACTAAGTGGAAAAAACACAACACTCTTGGTATCAATGCCATTTTATCAAGAGAGTTTAACTGACTTTTAGTCAAAACTGCGTTGTATATGAAAGAGAACAAAAAATGTTGAAATTCATTTCTCATCACTTTAACGTTTTACAATTTTTTAATAGTCAATGAGAAACATTAAATCAGGAGTTTTGAAGACATTAATTGTATTTTAAATACAGTGAATCACTACGCAGAATTGATTTGAATTTTAAGCAAGTGTATGCTAACTGATATGAATACTTTAAGTAGTAATAAAAATGTTAATATTTACAATTGGAGTAGTTATTCTTACTAAATAGTTCAAATTTATAATTAAACAGTCTCTATCATTAGATTTTGCTGTGTATATCCACATTTGATTACTACGAAAATTGTGTAACATTGATTAAACTAAATAATAAGAAATGCAGCTTTTTAACAATCGATATGACCATATATTTGATAGCTGGATCAATCCAAACGCTTACGATAAGTATTTTTCTAAATTAATATTTTTAATTGGAACATTTCATTTGCAAAAAAAATTAGTTTTGTTGTTAAGGGCAGTATGCATTTAGCAGTGTTTCACAACTTAATGTGTTTCATGAGTCTAATGTTAATCGTAATTACAGTGAAAATTGTCCAATGTTTGAAAAATTATGCGAAAAGGATATTAATTTTTCAAAGTTTTTGAAATATTTTGCAACAAGAATGTATCAAAATTCCAAATATTTATTATCTAACAGTTATTGTAAAATGGTCAGAATAACATTCTATTCTGTAAGAACTGACAGAACAGATAATTTCATTGTACATTTATGTAGCAGAAGGTAAATGCTACTTTATTTTTTTATTTTAAATAATTCTCTACACACAACTTCCGACCACTGTTAAAAACGATCTAGAACGAGGCACGATGTCATCGAAAACAGAAGACGGCGTTTTGGATGCAGTTAGTGTCGATCTAGCTTTAGAATAATGGAAAATTTGGTCAAGAGCTGTATAGGGTAGCATGATCAGCATAACGAAAAACGAAAAAACCATGCCAAAATGAGTTTTATTGTAGCCCATCAAAAGTGCTATGCATGAATCATTGAAATAAAAAAAACATCAGAGAAATAGAAGTAAGCAAGAGGTAACTTATATTATTAATTTATAGAAATCGGACTTAATTTTTAATGACTAATAAATCGGGGAGCTCGATTCAAATGACTGATAAAGATGAGAGCTCTTTTGATGATGTGTTTTTGATACAAGATAGGAAGTTTCACAATCTTGGGATAGTAGAAACTAAATTGATAATCTAAGTGCAGAGCCCTTTCATCGAAAAATATAAGACATTTAAAAATAACAACGGGGCAATGTTATGGTAAGTCAGGTTGGGATATGCGTCAATGGAATATCTCAGAGAATTAGGGAAAGCATATCTGGAGATAAACAGTCTGAAGAGGGCTGCTTTTAGTGACACAATAAAATGTTGCAACGTTTGCCTTAAAACAAGATCTCATAAGTTATCTTTTTCTTCAATATGAGAAAGAACAAGCAGACCTCTTTAAACGATTCACTCTGACACGATGGAAGTAATAAGTCCACCATCCTTTCCAAGAAAGTACAAGCTAATCTCTGTGTTTGTTGATGATTTCTTAAGATTTTTCATGACGTTCTCCATGAAAAACAAAAAATGCTTGGAAAATTTCGTCAAAGGCTGTAAAAATCTGTTAGGATGAGATACGAAAGTGTGTTAGCTAAGGTCAGATCATGGCACATATTTCACGGGAGGATCCACCCGAAAGATGTTAGACAGTCTTGGAGTGGAACTCCAGTTGAGCTGTCCTTATACCCTCAAACTGGATGGCACGTTGGAAAGACTCAATAAAACTATTCAAATAAAAGTCCAAGTTCTCATGTGTTATTTGGGACTCACAGAGAACATGTGAAACTTGGCCTTGAACGCGGCTGTGTTTACGTACAATCGCACTCC